AGAGCCCCCCAGGACTGCAGAGCCTCTGGTGAGCTCTGGCACAGCCTGGACATGGTTGGGATGTGGCTGTCCCTGCCAGCAGATGAAGCAGTTACCTCCAGTGGAATGAGGCCTCTGCCACTGGTCTCAGAACAACCACTGTCACCCTGCGAGTGTCCCCTCACCAACAGCGGGGCGTGACTCACCTGGGCGCTGCTCTCTGGGAGCTGTGATTCCCCTGGAGAGGACGATTTGGCTGATCTTACTTACCAGTTTAGAGCAGAACAAGAGGGTGAAACTTCCACATCAGAAAATCCATCTTTCCCCATCTTTTCTTTCTTGAAAAGATTGGCTAAACTAGTTGGATTTCTTGGAATTCCATTCCAGGAGTCAGTAGGGAGTGCCATTGATTGGTATCTGGATCAAAAGCTCTCCTGCAACAGGAGAGCTCTCCTTGCCCTTGCATCCTATCCTGGATGAGCTGTTCAAGAAGGCATGACAGGACGCCCACTGCATCAAAGGACATTAAGAGAAAATACCTGCTCCCCGAGGACCCGTTCTGTCCTGTCTCAGCCTGCACACAGCCTCCAGCAGACGCAGCAGTGGCGAGGGAGGAAGTGGCCCTGCACCCCAGAACCCAGCACTGCAGCGCCTGCGTTCTTCCGGCCAGAGGGCTCACTGGTGAGCGGCCGCAGCCCTGCGTGCCGTGGACTGTCAGGGCTGTATGGTCCGAGGGTAAGTGGAACTCCAGAGGGAAGTTCCTGTGCTGGTAAAGCCTGTTTGGCTGGATAGTGCCAGGCCTCAGGCCGTTGTCCTCAAGGAGAGGAACCTGGCAAAGCCTGAGGTGCGAGCAGTCATTGACGCAGGGGTGACAGTGGCAAAGAGCCACCAAAGGCCCTGCTGGGCTTCTCGAGGTGGGAGTAGTGCCCCTCAGCTCCCCACAGCAGGGCCAGGAGGGGGAAGCACAGCCTCAGCCTGCTCCCACCTCCACTGCTTGTTCCAAAGTTGTGCAGTGCCCTTTTGGGAAGGTGCCCCACCAGTGCAGCACAACGAGGTGTCTTCATCCCCTCTCCACAGACAGCAAAAACAGGGGAATTCAAAGAGCCTGAAAGCTGGTAAATCCTGTTTTGTAAACTGATACCCATGCTGCGGTGACTCGCTCTGCCTTTCATTTCCTCCTGCTTTTGAGTCTCGAGTCCTCAGCTGTATTGTTGATGCCTTACTAGAAAACAAAAGCATGTCCAAATCACCGCTCCTCAGCTCCCAAGAGTGCTCCGATAAACTCCTCACTGTGCAGGACCACAGACAGTCCAATTTCTCTTGGCAGCGATGCAGGGCTGGGGGCAGTGGGAGCACATCTGAACAGGAAAGCCACAGAAACAGAAAAGTCTGAGACACTGACACAGGGATCCATTCCTTCTGTCCCTTCCTGGCCCAGCCTCCGGCAGGAGCTGCAGTGTGCTTCTGCAGCAGCAGCGGGTCTCAAAGGCCGTGTGTGCACCTCCTGAGTTGGTTACCTGAGTGGTTTGAGGCTCCTGTTCAGCCCACAGACTCTTGGGCTGGCTCTTTGTGTCAGTCCAGTGTCAATCTCTCCGTTTTCTTTCAATTGAACCGTTCCTCTCTCTTCTCAAGAAGAAAATCTCAGCACAAATTTAAGTAACATCTGCTGCTTCTATTGGAAGTGGCGGAAAACATTCTTTCTCTCCCTGAGGACTTGTCTAGCTGGAAGACAGACTCGCATCACTTTCCCAGCTAACTTCTGCTACAGTTCAGCCATACTTTCTGCTATGAAATGGCTTTTGCGTTTATTCTGAAATAAAATCAATTTTGTTTCAAACTAGTCTTGCTGGGGCAGTTGCTGTTAAGTCTCTGCCGTGGTTGATTTCACCTTTGTAGGCAAGGCAAGCAGTCGCTTGTTGAAGTGCACCAGCTAAAGCAGTGCACAGAAGCACAGCCCTGAGCAGGCTCAGCGGCTTGTGCCTTACAATGGGAAATCTTAGAATACGAAGTTATGGTTCCAGACGGTTGTTTCCACCAGGGCCCACCTGGGGCTCACCCATCACCGGCGGGGATCGGAAATCACTGACAAGTCTAAAACCAGCCTAAAGCTTTCCACAGGGAGGTTCTGCTGTTTGCAGAAAGGGGAGTGCCTGACGCAGTGACCCTGTCCCAGCAGCAGCCATAAGGAGTGACCTGAGCAGTGCCTCAGCGTGGCTTTGGGGTAGGTCTCTGGGGCTTGTCTTGAAACACATTGTGGGGCTCAGCTCAGCATCCCGTGTGGTCTTCCTGAGGCAGTCCCTGCTGGGTGTCCCCCCTGCAAGCAGATCACAAAAGAGCTGTCACCATTCATGGAGTGTCAGTAACGGAGTGAACCTCGGTGTCCAACTCTGTACAAAGGGGCTTAATTCAACCTTGTTACACCCTGATGGGGAAAGGGGGGTCAGCAGAGTGTGAGAAGGGGCAGCCAAGCCCATGGCAACTTGACCTGTGCAGCACGTGTTCATCCTATAGCCATGCCAGCTTGGCCTGTGCAGCACGTGTTCATTCCTTAGCCATGCACACAGGTTAGTGGTGAGCTGAAAACGCAAACCCTAAATATCATTGGCTCATCCTCAGCGTTGCTGGGCGTTGCTGGGCGTTGCTGGGGGCACCAGGGACAATGGGACAGGACCTGTGAGGCTGCCTTCTCAAATGGTCCTGAATATCAACAGACCTGTGGGGACCTCTGCCTGCATCTTGGAGGCAGGCAGACTGCATCTGAACCTGCATTCTGTTCAAAACCAGCAGAGATGTACCGGCGTTACTCCTGCCTCAAGACACACATTCAGAATCCCATCCTGGTTTGGGCTGGAAGGGACCTTAAAGCTCCTCCAGCTCTAGCCCCTGCCACGGGCAGGGACCCCTTCCACTGGAGCAGCTTGCTGCAAGCCCCTGTGTCCAACCTGCCCTTGAACACTGCCAGGGATGGGGCAGCCACAGCTTCTCTGGGCACCCTGTGCCAGCGCCTCAGCACCTTCACAGGGAAGAGCTTCTGCCTTAGATCTAACCTGAACTTCCCCTGTTTCACTTTGAAGCCACCACCCCTTGTCCTGTCGCTCCAGTCCCTGATGAAGAGTCCCTCTCCAGCATCCTTGTGGCCCCCTTCAGACACTGGAAGCTGCTCTGAGATCTCCACGAAGCTTCTCCCCTCCAGGCTGGACAGCCCCAGTGTTCTCAGCTTGGCCTCATATGGGAGGTGCTCATGGGTTCATTGCCTGGAACGGCTGCGTGGGTGTTCTGGGTTCAGCTGTAGCAGTCATTCTTCTCCTTCTTAGTAGCTGGTGCAGTGCCGTGTCCCTTTGCTCCTTGGCAGAGCCCCGCGCCTGCAGCCTCTGGCCTGGGAGGAGAGAGGAGTCCCAGTGGTGGGTGAATGCCTCAATGCGCCAGCAAAGATGGTGGCTCCAGCTGCTTCTGGCTGTGGGGACGTGCTGAGCAGCGTGTCCTGGTGCCCGCAGCGCTGGGCAGGGCTGTGCCCACAGTGTGGTGCCACCAGGGAACATGCATGGCCCAAAGCATGAACGCAGGGAGCATAGGAGCTGCTCTCGCAGTGCCCCTCTGCCCACAGCGCTGCAGGGAGCCGAGGCCTCGCTGGATCCAGGTGACACACAGAGATCTGCAATGACCAGGAAACTGCAGAGCCATGCAATGTGTTGGGTTGGGAAGGACCTTAACAGCATCTCATGCTGAATCCAAGATGAAGCTCCAAACAAATCCTCCCAAAAGACAAGGCTGTGTTGGAGACACTGGCACTGCAGGTCCCGTGTCTGCCTCCATCACACCCTCACAAAGGCATTTTTACCTGGTGCAGGGATGTCCCTAATCACGCGTGGCTGGAGGCTTCTAGGAAGGGCCCGGCTCTGTGGAACACACACTCTGGCTTCCAGCTGAGAAGTCCAAGACGCTTGGGTGCTTGTATGGGTCAGGAGCCCCCTGGACAGCCTGCTGCCTGGTTTCCTCTTTCCAGTGCCCTCAGCTCCCCCTGCCCCAGCCTCTGCCGTGGTCACACGTGGTGCAGAGCACGCAACCCACAGCAGAAGAACCCTGACGGCAAACTCCAGCCCAGCAGGTGGGGAGACGGTGAGTGAAACTGAAGCCCCACGCAGCCCTGGAGCCAGCTCCTGGCACTGACCCCCCACTGGGACAGGATGGAGGATTTGGGTAAGCCAGGTCCCACCGGAGCCAGAGCAGCACGTGGTGAGGGGCTGTGCTTTCGGCAGCTTGGAGGCAGATTTGTCCTTCCGCTGCCTCAGGGTGAAGTGGGGATACTGCCAAAGGGGCAGCAACGGAGCTGCCCTTCCCACTCTGCCCCCCTTCCCAGCGGATAGACAGGGCCCAAGCGACCAAGCAAGTGCTTGGCCAGCAATGGAGAGCACTTGAAGGCGGGAAATTGGCTGTGGCAGCACCGCGAGCCTGGCTGCACCGCAGCGGGGCAGCACCAGGGCGCAGCACAGTGTCTGGGGTGCTGGGAACCATCCCTGGGGAGATGCGGGCAGGGAAGCAGCCCCACAGTGGGGGCATCACCCCCGTGTCCTTGTGTGAGGGCAGTGGGATGCTGAGGGACAGCAGCGAGGTAAAAGCAGACAGAGCAAGTGCTTCGCCCTCCCCACGGGAAGCAGCGCTGCGGCACGCAGGAAGCGCTGAGGTTGGGCTCTCCCATGTGGGGCTTGTGCGGGGGTGAAGCTAAGGGCTGGGGATGTTTCGTTGTAAGACAGAGATGGTGCGCGGGGGGCGTGGGGAAGCGAGACCCTGCTGCCAACGGCTCCCATTGGAAAGGGGGGCCCGGTTAAGGGTGCTCAGGGTCCCCACAGCCCCTCGAGCCCCAGCGCTGGCAGAAGCTGCTGCGATGCTGCTTTTGCTCTGAGGTATCAGAGCATGCAGGGGGCAGCAGCAGCCGGTGCTGACCCCGCTCTCCCCATGCAGATACGCTGCTGGAGGAGCTGGAGCAAAGCTCTCGCGAGGCCCATGGGCGGCAGGCACCGGCACACCTGGAGGTAACGCTTCGAGCTGGGGCTGGTGGCTGAGGCCCCGCTCAGCTCGTGACACGGGTGGTGCTGCCGGGAGCATCCTGCAGGCTCCAAGGGTTTGTCCTTCCAGGTGCAGTCGCCTCGGGCTCAGCCTCCCGCCGAGGCTGTGGACACGGTGTACAGGTAAAACAGGCCTTGGAAAGGCAAAGCCTCTGCGGTTTCCCTTTCCATCACTTGGATGCCTCCCACAGGGGCACCTGCGTGTGCCCCCAAAACAATTCCTTCCACGAGCTGGGGCGGGGGATGCATCCCGCACTCCTGCAGCACTGCTGGGGCAAGGGCTGGGCTTCCAGCAGCCTCCTCCTCCCTGCCGCATGTCCCCAGAGAGATCCCCTGAGCACGGTTCTCAGCCCCTGCCGCCTCCATCTGTGGGGTGGAAGCTGCAGCATCACTCACTCTGTGCCCAGAAGCCCTGTTCCAGTCCCGCAGCCGCTGTTCCCACCCACGGCAGCCGCTCAGCAGCTGGACAAGCTCCTGGCTGACCTGGGCCACATGCAGAGCAAGATGAGTCCCAGCCCTGGGGTAAAGGGGCTGGTTACTGACCTTTAAGCAGCTCTCGCCATCCTCCTGCCTAGCAGTTTGCAGCAGAGGGGCAGGGAGCCCAGGAGCCAGAGGAGACCAAGCCCAAGCCCTCTCTGGACAGCATGCTGCGCAGCCTCACCCAGGACCTGCAGGAGCTGGGCATCACGGCCACCCCCACCAGTGTCTGCACCACCTGTCACAAGCCCATCGCTGGCAAGGTGAGACCCTGACCTCCATTCACCTTCCACCTCCATCCAGCACCTCCATGCATCCCTTGCCTTCTCCATCCATTGCCTCCATCCATCCATCACCTTCATCCACCCTCCACCTCCATCCATCGCCTCCATTCATCCTGTGCCTTCTCCATCCATTGCCTCCACCCACCCTGTGCCTCCATCCATCCATTGCCTCCATCCATTGCCTCCATCCGTCGCCTCCACCACTTTGTGCCTCCAGCTATCCATTGCCTCTATCTATCCATTACCTCCGTCCATCTTGCGCCTCCATCCATCCATTGCCTCTGTCTACTCTGTGCTTCCATCCATCCATTGCCTCTGTCTACTCTGTGCTTCCATCCATCCATTGCCTCCAGTCATCCTGTGCCACCATCCCTGCTGCATCTCCATCCATCTCCCCACAGCTCATGGGGTCCCTGGAGCTACTTTCAGTGCCTCCCACCTCCCCACAGGTGCTGACAGCGCTGGGCAGGACCTGGCACCCCGAGCACTTCACTTGTGTCCTCTGCGGACAGGAACTCAGTTCCCGGCCCTTCTTCGAGCGGGATGGGCAGCCCTATTGCGAGGATGACTATCACCAGGCCTTCGCGCCCTGCTGCGCCTACTGTGCTGGCCCCATCCACGAGGTGAGACTCCTCCAGCCCCCCTCCCCCAAGCGCCCAGCCCCCTGCCTCACCCTGCCTCCTCCTGCAGAAGGTCCTCACGGCGCTGGACCAGACCTGGCACCCCGAGCACTTCTGCACCAACTGCGGGAAGGTGTTTGGCAATGACGGTACATCCCAGGAGACAGGCTGGGGGATTCTGCCCCGCTCTGGGTAACCCCGGCCCCATCCGACCTCCTCCCCAGCCTTTCCCTTGCCTCCTACCCTGAGCACCCCCATGGCCGTGACCCCCTGTACCCCTGGCAGGTTTCCAGGTGCGGGATGGGAGGCCATACTGCCACCAGGACTTCCTGGCCCTGTTTGCCCCCAAGTGCCAGGGTTGCGAGAGCCCAGTGACAGGCAGTTACCTGTCAGCCCTGAGCGGGGTCTGGCACCCCAAGTGCTTCGTGTGCACGGTGAGTGTGGAGAGGGCCGGGGGAGGCCACCAGGGCACGCGTGTCCCCACAGCCATGCCAGCTGCCCCCATCCCGTTCCCACAGGACTGCCTGAGCGGCTTCAGCAGCGGCTCCTTCTTCGAGCTGGAGGGTCGGCCCTACTGCGAGCAGCACTTCCACCAGCGCCAGGGCAGCATCTGCCATGGCTGCGGCCGCCCTGTCACCACCCGCTGCATCACAGCCGTGGGGTGCAAGTACCACCCCGAGCACTTCACCTGCACCTATTGCCTGTGCCCACTGCACAAGGGCACCGTCCGCGAGCGCGGCAGCAAGATGTACTGCCAGGCCTGCCACAAGCAGCTCTTCCTCTGAGCCCCGGCACACAGCCGCTCCTCCTGGGTGTCCCTCGCATGGTCCCTGCTGCCACAAATGTGATTTGCTTGTTCCAGCCATCAGCCCCCCTGCTTGGGTCCTGCTGAGCCAAAGTCCCTGGCCTCATCTTTGCCAAGCCAGACATCCCAAGCATCATTTCTTGTCATCCCCTCCTCCAAGACATTCCTGACATTGTCCCTGCCCAGCCACACGTCGTAGGCTCTGCCCCCTTGACCTGAAACAATAAAACACTTGGCTTTGCCTTTGCTCTGCTCACTGGTGGCTTTAGGGACAAGGGCACAGAGCAAGGTGGGAGGGCTGGAGCCACCCCAGTCACATGCACCCATCAACACTCCCCTGCCTGCAGGTGCACTGGGGTCCCTGCACCCAGGCGGCACGTAGCCCCAGCCTGCCTGGGGCGCAGCTCCAGCTCCGGCTGCACTGCACACCACAGGGAAGTGGCACCACACGGGGCCCAGTCCTGCTCTAAAGAGCTGCCCTGTGCCCCACCAAAAACCTGCCCAACAGCAACACAGCTTCAGAGCAAACCTGGCTGGAAGCAGGAGCCACAAAACTGCTCCAAAAACACAAACCCAGAGAGGTACAGGATTTGTGTTTGTTCCCACGTGCACGCACAGGGGAGAAACCCGAGTGGGAACGTGGTGGTTGAGCCTGGCTCCAGGCTCCCTGGGGAGGGATGAGCACATCCACAGCCAAGCCCTGCTCTGCAGGTGCCCTGAGCCCGGCTACTGGAGGCTGTCCCCAGCACTGGGTGGGGGCAACTACCACCGCGAACACAGCAGAGGTTTAACTCCCATCTCCTGCCCGGAAGAGCAGGGGCCGCTCCAGTCCTGGGAAGGGTTTGTCCAAGCAGCATCACCCAGGGACCCCCGGGGCTGGACCGGCCGAGGGCGGCACCGACACACTTTAAAAACTTTATTTATATAAAAAATCATCTCGTTGGAAAAGCGTTACAAGAGTGTGCGCAGGGGGGAGGGGCAGCCCTGGCCCCGCCACCCCCCGCGCGGGGGGAGCTGCTTTTTGGTTCATTTGGAATTAAACATTAAAAAAAGGAATTAGTGTTTTACATCGTTAAAGGAAGAGTTAAACCCCAGAACGAACCGAATGAGCTGAAGGAGGGCTGGAGCCGGGCACCAGGGCGGGAGCTGGCGGGGCTGGAGGCGCAGGCAGGAGCAGGGCCCCAGGGGCTCCTCCGGGGGCTCCTGCTCCAGTTGCAGCCTCCTGCAGCGGCTTCCAGTTGTGCAGGGAGCCCGAGGGCTCCCCGAGGATCGCAGCACTGAATGAGCCACCACCACCACAGAGAGAGGAGGATGCGTTCGCCCCAGTCCCTGTGGCAGCCCAGCCTCCTGAAAGAGGATGGAGACAAGAGACCTGCATCCCCTCAGTGAGGACAGTGGGGCTGGGATCCCCCCAAATGGGCTTCCAGCCCCACTGCAGCCAGTGGAGGCTCCTAGCGGGGAAGAGAAGAGCTCAGCTCTGCCAGGAGCCCGGCCACCCGTCCCCAGCGAAGCCAACAGTACGATTCCAAGAGCTATTTCACAGTGGCAAAAGAAAGGCACATGTCACGAGGAGGCAGGGCAGTGGCAGCCCTGCCAGCGCCTGCTCCTCACCCCGGGCACAAAGGACACCCAAGAAGCTGCCTCCCCGCAGGAGCCCACCACATCTCCTTCCACAGGGACCCACCACCTCCCGTGCAGGGAGGCTCATCCCAAGCCCCTCGCACTGACCATCTTCCCCATGTAAGGATCCCTCCTCACACAATGGGGGCCAGCAGCCCCATGCAGACCCCTCCACAGGAACCAGAGCCAGGTCCTCATTCCCATGCCCCCAAAGCCTTATTTAGAGCAAAGCAAGAGAAGTTATTGCTGTTTTTCCTTCCCCTCACAGCCTCCCTTCACCCTGGTCCCACCGCCACCAGGGAGGGATGCTCCCGTTGTCCCCACAGCCCCGGCTGAAGAGTGAACCTGCACAAAAATATATCCTATAGGCAACAAAACCAAAACAAAAAGGTGGTGGCATGTGAGGTCCCAGTCTCCATCCCTGCAGACATCTGAGCAGAGGGAAGGTGTGGGAGAGAAGGCAGTTCCTGGTCAAGGCAGAGATCCGGAGTTCGTTTGCAGCATCCACGCCGGTTGATCCGGCAGAGTCGGGCTGGAGGAAGGAGGTGGTGGAGGATGGGGAGGAAGAGTTATGGGTCGAGGCGTCCCGGAACGGGAGGTGCAGTGGCCCAGGGGAGGCAGAGTCCAGGCTGCCCCTGGGCCCAGGCGTTTGGCTGGCGAATTGGCACCAACAGTCCAGCAGAAACTCCAGGAATAAGACAAGGTCAAAGTCGGTCCATTCCACCACAAAGTTATATATATATATATATATATTTATATATATAATATATTATCAACCCAAACTGAGTGGAGGCGGGGAGGTCACAGCTAGATCTTCTGCTGTGGAGAGAAAGGGAAAGATGTCAGCATGCCTGAGGAGCAGGGGAGCAGCCAAGGTGTGATCATGGCCCGATGGTGATTGCAGAGATCAGCGATCAGAGCAGGACTGGGCTGGCCAAAGCACCCCAAGAGCACAGCAGAGGGATGTGTCACTCCTGCTCAGATTGGGCAGGACACCATGGGACATACCGACACGGGGGAGAGCACGGGAGCATCCTCCTGCACCTCCTCTCCCTCAGGCTGCAGTTCCTGCCCCTCCTCCTGCTGCAGACACACCGGGTTAGTGGGGCCGATGGAGCGGGGGGGTGTTAGTTGGGGGAGCCCACTTCTAACCTCCTCCTGCCAGCCAGGACAGTGATTGGTCATCTCCTGCCCCCAGCCCCACTCACATCCCCAGTCAGGAGGAGCTGCTCACCATCAAGGGCGCTGCCTTCACCGGCTCCATATCTCCAAGTTCACCAGATCTTTCCAGTGTCCTGCTGTGGTCCCGCTCATTGAGTGTGGAATAGCTGTCTGGAGCAGGAAAGGGGACAGTCAGTCATGTCACCTCCACGGGAGGCAGCATCATCCCCACAAGAGACGTGATCTCTGCCCCCTCCCAGCATACCAAGGAAGCAAGATGCTCCCACCATTCCAGTCCCAGTCCTACCTGGTCCCATGTTGCTCATCTGGATCTCCTCCCGGGAAGATTTCTTGTCTACAAGCATGGGAGAGCAGATCAGACACAGCCACAAGCAGCAGAGGAACCGCTGCCTACCCCAGCTACAAGACCCCAGACCCAGCTGCAACTGCAGCACTGTTGACCTAAGGACGCTACAGGATCCACATGAACATAGGTCCTTTCTAGCCCTGAGAAGCCATCTAAAGCCCAAATTGATGGCCTTGTGTGAGCAGCTGTGGCTGCCAAGAAAGTCAGGGCTGAAGAGCAGGGAGGGGATGAAGGCCCACTCTTCTGTGTACCCCCAAGTGGAATGGTGACAGCGGGGACAGGCACTGCAGGGAAGGCACATACCTGATTTTTGGTTCCTGTCAATGAGAGGCAAGGTGCTGTCATCAAAGGAGTTGCCTCCCTGGGTCCGAGAGGCGTTGCTCAGGTTCACCTGGAGCATCAGACAGTGACCACTCACACCTTGGCCCAGACATTCCTTCCTGATCCACACATCCCACCCCTCCAGCCCCCAGCACCAGGACGGGCCCAGGAACCCTACCACAGCCCTTGAGCAAGGGGTGAAGCAACCAGAGGGTGCTGCAGAGCCCAGGGCTGCACCCACGCCTGAGTGGAGGTGGCTGGCTGGGCTGGGGCAGGACCCAGCCCTCAGCAAACAAGGACAGCCCCAGCCTTTGGGAAAGAAACTGAGCCCTGAAGAACCTTGCTCTTCAGCACTGCCACTGGCCTGCAGTCCTGCAAGCTCCCCTGCCTGCAGATCTGCAGCTTAGGTGCGACACACGGCTTAAAGCTCTACAGAGTGGTTCTTCCTTGGCAGAGACTTCCTGCAGCCACCCGCTGAGGAGTGGCAAAGGGGTCACCTCCAAGGGTGTCAGTCCCATCAGCAAGGTAAGAGCTGAAATCCACTATTACTGAGCTCCCGGAACACTCTCCTCCCTGCTGCAGGACCCCACCTCCTACCCTAGCCACAGCAGGGCATCTCCGTACCTGGAAATCTGACTTCTTCCAGCCTTCCTTCTCGAGGGGCTTCCGCAGCTCTTTGTATCCCCACACTGTCTGCAAGACGAGGGCGGCCGCTCGGACCTCTCGCTCGGAGCGGTTCCTAGAAAGGGGCGAAGGAAGAGATGTTTGGAGATACCCATGGCTGGGAGAAAGCTGCTGGAGAAGCCCTTCTCTGCCCCTTGCACTGTCCTTTGAGCAGAGCCTACCCAGATTTGTTGATCAGCACCAACTTTTCTATCCCCTGAGTTTCCCGCAGCTTCTTGGCAGCCTCAAGGTTGTCTACAATTACTTCATTGATGGTGTTGAGGATTGACACCACTGCATCCTCAGAGAGGTTTTTGGCTGGGGTCTGCTGGCCTCCAGGCAGGTTCTTCACTAGGTTGGGGATGGCATGTTTACCTGGGGAGGGAAAAGAGCTGGGCATGAGCAAGTGAGGAAGAGGTCTGCAAGAGAAAAATCACTGCAGAAGGACCAGCGACCAGTTCTGATGTCCCTCTCAGCACATGCTGCTCTGGGAGAGCAGCAGCAGACAGACACTGGACTGATGCCATGCCCACACACCTGCTCAGCTCAGGACGTCCCTGCATGACCCGGATGGATGGAGCCCATGTCCCACCCCGTGCAGCCCTCACCTATCAGCTCCTTGTTGCGCAGGTCCACAGCCAGGTTGCGCAGGGCTCCGGCTGCAGCTTTCACCACGCGCTCGCTATCGTGGCTCAGGAGGTCGGCGATGGCAGAGAGCCCCTTCTCCTGGCGCAGTGCTGCACGGATGCAGCGCCCGTACTGCAGGGCAGAGGCACAGCACATGGGGTCACCCGGGCAGGCACAGCCCCCCTGCTCCTGGGGACACCCAGGGAGCCTTCCCACCACCCTCATCTTGGGAACTGAGGGTCCTGGCTTCACCCACAGTGAGACTGCAAAGGTCCCACTCCTGTCCAAAAGCCCCCCTCAACAGGCCAGGCAAGCAGTTTCCCAGATGGTCTTTCCATCCACACCACCAGAATGCATGTCCGGGATCTGTGCAGCAGCCCAGACCGTCATTCCCTGTCCCCAGCATATGGAAGAGAAGGAATGGCAGTTAGCCCGCTGCAGGTAGGGACACAGACAGGCAGCCTTTGGGAACCCACAAATGG